TCAAGTTTTCTGAAGAAAGACAGTTTTTTAAGAAAAGAATTGTGTGCTGTGTATGAAGGGACAGAGCATTATGTGAGAGAACGATATGGCACTTATCCCACATACAACCAAATATGTACTACTTCCTTTGCCATAGTTCGACTTTCTACCCCTCTTATATATCCCTAACCCCCAGGAGAATTGCAGATTTTGAGATTTTGCCCTGTAGAACTTCAGGGCTTGGGAGCTTAATATTGGGGGATTGTGGTTTTTAGGCTTCTGATCTTTAGGTATTTTAGATGTTAGGGATTCTGAGCTTTTGGGATTTCACCATTTGGGACTGTGAGGTTTGGGGTTTTGATCATTACTGCCTCAGGGAAGTCACCCTGAGGCAGGGTAGCAACATGGCTAGACTGAGAAAGATGCTGGCCCTCTGTCCTGCTTGTCAGGCAGACGCTGCTGTGCATTATTTTGCAACTACCTTTGCTTTAGAATTCTTCATTTCTATTCATTGCTAATCCCACAACATTCTTTGACTAATAGCAGGTATAATAGAAAATTTGGCCAGAACTCCATTTTTCAGATATGTTAATTAAGGTAGCTTATAAATATTTTACAGGCTATTGAAACAATCTGCATAATTGACTACCAAAGTAATGCATGAATTTAGATTAGATCTTGGTTTATACAACAATCAGTTAAAATTTAGCACTGGGAGTATAACTGAAGTAGCACAGTACTTACATGGACCACTGAAAATAAACAATAACTTTATTCTTGGGACAATTTGGGAAATTTGAATGATTGGGAATAACACTAGATAGTAACAATTTAATAGCATTGTTAATTTTGTTGATTTAATTATGCATTGGGATTTTATAAGAGATTGCCTTTATTAGAAAAGCAAGGCAAAATATTTAGGGTTGAGGTATCCACAATATGACTTTTTTCCCAAATGGTACAATAAAAAAGTGTGCATGGTGATAAATTCAGTGAAATTCTTAACTATTTGTTCATTGTTCTATTATTTATATATTTCTGTATTTTTTAATTTTTAAAGAATTTTTATAAGGAAAAGTTGGGGAAAAATGTACAGCAGTTTCAATCCTAAAGGAGTAAACCAAGAAATCAAAAACCATGTTAAAGTAAAGGCAAAGCAATTTTTATTTAGGTAAAGAATAAATTTGCAAATCTGAAAATTCAGGCTCATTTAGAAACCCAACAAGTATTCCATCAAATAAGGACAGATTTTCGTTTTAATTCTTTTGTGGTATTGGGATGAAATCTGTTGCATTCCCAGTCCTTTTAATTTCTTGTTGTTGTTGTTGTTGTTGTTGTTGTTGTTGATTTTAAGACAAGGTCTTTTTAATTTGCTCAGGCAAGGCTTGAACTTGTGATCCTCCTAATTCACACTTCCAGATTGAAGACTGAGTTTTTAAAGGGAAAAAAAGGGGGAACAATGAGGTGAGGTGAAATATATTGTTTTGAACGGTTTTGATTGGGCCTGTTAGTGATAGATAGGTGCTGGGAGTCTGGTGTTACATTGAGCTGCACATGCTGGGTTTCACAGTCTTTTAGAGCAGTCAGTGAGTCAGCAGAAACCTTGCATTTGAGAATTGTGGCCATTTGTAGTCTTGCAAGCACACCCTTCTCAGATAGCATTCTTCATCTGGAAGTTCAGGTGAGGGACTCATTTGAGGGGTTGGGGTGTGCAGTGCAGACTACACAGAATCCCTGATACACAGAGAGGTTTTGATCTCTCTCTCTCTCTCTCTCTCTCTCATACCACAGCCATACTAATTCTTAATGTCATAAAGATAATTTAAATTTTGACTTCATCAGATCACTTAACGTAATCTTTTGCCCTATTTAAATTATGAACAGTTAAAATATTTTATTCAATACAGGGACTGAAGAATATTTAGGAGACCCCCCAAAGTGGGAGGTAAAATTTCTCTTCTGCCCTTTTTGTGTTACTTCCTGGCCTAAAATTTAAACTGACATTGTACATATTAACAGGAGAAAATCAGAAATTTAAGTAACTTTTAAGTGGATATGGAAGCCTTCACAAGGAAATGCAGACACAGAGAAGAAGAGTTAAACACACACATGCTAGTTGGGACAAAGAGGAGCAAACTCAAAATGTAACCAGTCAGAGGGGCTTGGGCACAGAGTTGTGGAAAAGTGACAAGGAAGATGCAGGTTAACTAGATAAAGGTTGTTTACAGATTCCCCTTGGCTTCCATTACCACTTCTGGCAATGAGATATCTTCCTCCTGGCATGGGTCTGGGGTGTATCTTTCTAGTGAGGGTTTCATCATCTTTTGGGAAGAGAAGGAAGGTTGGAGCGCCCTCATGCATCTTCTGTTTTGCAAGTGCCTTTCACTCTATTGCTATGACAAGGGAGTATATTTTAGGAGGGCAGCCTTTCTTCATTATCACAGACTCTAGCTAGATGTATTTCTAAACTTAACTAATAATTGTCAGCTGATATTTGGCAGAGATATCATGGCTTGTGGCTTTAGGACATAGAGATATTCAACTCAATGCAATAAAACATTTATTTGTGATATAACAGCATATATTTTAAAATTAATTTTATTGACACACTTTTGAGATACTAATGATCATGTTCATCATAGGGAATTTGCACCTGTACATAGCATATTTTAACTCTTCTTTTTTTCCCCATTCCTCTCCCCTCCCTTCAACCATTCTTCCCCTAATGTACAACAGTTTTATTTCCATTTTTCCTTCTGTTCTCTTTTTTCCTTTTCTCTTCCCCCCTTTTCCTCCTCCCTCCCTTGTTCCCCTTCCCATTTAAACAAGTTCTTCCTACTCCCATTTCAGTCCTGATTTATCCTTTGGGTTTCTAACACAAAAGAAACAATGTGATATATAAATGAGTGTGTCCAGTGTATTTCACTTAACAGTAGGGTCTCAAAGTGCATCCATTTACCTAAAAATGTCTCAAATTTATCCTTTATGTCAGAGTAGTACCTTATTGTATATAAAAACCACATTTTCTTTTTCCTTAATAGCATATATTTTTGATATATCTCACTTGTCCCTATGACATAGGCTGAATTAAATTGAATCTATGGGCTGGGGATGTAGCTCAGTGGTAGAGTACTTGCCTAGCATGCACAAGTCCTTGATTTGATCTCCAGCACTGCCAACAAAACAAAAAGTGATTTCATTGAATGTAGTAGTAGTTCAGGTAGTATTTAGCACATGATAATTTATAAAATTGTACTGAGTATGACAAGGCCTTGAATACCTTATGGACATGCTAGGGATCCCACAGGAGCAGACATCTTCACATGCATCCCAGGAACACTGTGAATATGTACAAGACACAGAAATGTGTGCATCGGTGGAGCCTGTGGGTATCTCTCTACATAGGAGAGCTAGCTCAGTGTTCATTGTAAAGGGAAATGTAGGGTTAAGCAAACTAAAAGGGCCTGGTGAGTGTGGAGTGAACAGGAACACAGAGGAGGAGAGGGAACAGAGAGAGGTAAATCTGTAGGCTGGGGGAAAATGGAAAGCTTACTCTGTTATCCACTCATTTTATGTTAGAAGCCATTAGAGCTTTACATAGGGTACTATAGACAGCCTCATGCCTGAAAAAAAGGGAACCTGGGTCATGAGGGTGAAAAGGGAGAGGGACAGCATTCAGCATTGGCCCACAAGGTAAGAGGGATTGAGTGAGATAAGAAGGATTTTAGAAAATCTGGAAGTAGGATAACCCCTTGGGCTAAGGAACTTATCTTCTAGTCAATCCCCTGAGTTCTTAAAATTATGTACTCTGGGTTTAATTACCAGCTGAGGTGCTTACAATTGTCAGACAATGAATGAGTGAATTGGATGTGATGTCAGACAACCAGAGATGAACATGCCCAATTTTACCGTCTGAAATAATAGGACAAAGTTGTCAAATACAACTTTTGCCGATTCTTGTTAACCCAAAGCTGCTACTTCTTAGAATTCTGGTTTAGGGGCGCCATCGTGGGACCGTGAAGTAAAGGTTATAGCCCACATATGGGTTGGGGGAAGTTCCTAGACCAGTAGTGGGCAACAGGGCTTTTCTCAAAAAAGACTGATTTTTGAGTTAGATTAAGGAGACAGACGGTTGCTACTGAAGTTGGGAAAACGGGGCTAAGGCCAAATGCTTGAGGGAAAACAATCACTTCTAGGTCCACTTCTGGAAGCATCCTAGAAGGAAAGGACAGAAGTGAGTGGGAAGGAAGGGAGGGAATATTTACTTGGTTGGTTTTACATTCTGATGAAATTGGCTGGTAGGAGTCTATTTGTTATCACTAGAACCACAATTAAGAGTTTTGTAACCTGGGTTTGCTCATAACCAAGTCATCTAATCAAAGCCATGTGTGGATCTGCTTATGAGGTAGTCCATTTCAGCCCTTGGTTTGTAAGAAAGAATACTGTTTCATGGCCAGTGAACCATGCGTATTTCCTCCAAGCTATATTACTAATTTTTAAAATAAATGTGATTAGAAATCATTGATCTCCTTTGCATTTTCCCATGGAGTGAAAGGACTCAGAGAGAGGAGAAGAAAGGAGCAGGTTTTACTTCAAAGGGACTGATAGAAACAGCAATAATATGAGGAAGGTTCTGGACCCAAGTGACTTTGGGTAAACACAAATATGAATTCATACAAATTATAAAAGGCTTCTTTGCGTTATCTATGAATTTCCAGATGCCTCCTTTTTTAAATTTCCCTGGGTCCTTCTAATAACTTTTTTACAGACTAATCCAGAAAAATGAAATTTACAGTTGAAGTATAGATCATGAAGAGAATTGAACATATTGTGGAAATAAAAATAACTTTTTTCAAAATTATTATTGAAATAAATTTGGTAAGCATTAAATTTATTTAATGTTATTTTGTTAGGGACGTGTGAAGTTTCAAAGAGTTGTATTATTTAGATACAGGCTTTCTGCTTGAATTTTTATATCAAAAACATTTGAATAATTCAATATTTTTCTTAATTTTTTGAAGGAAAGTCTAAAAGATGTTAAATATGATGATAGAGGCTTATCTCAATTGTCTCTTCAGTTGGCAGACCAAATATTGCTAGCAGTCAAAGAATTTGGGTTCCACCGTTATAAGTTCGTTATAAAAGTATTATTTATTCAAAAGACCGGCCAAGCAATAAATGTAAGTACTCCACTGATCCAGCATCTGTCAGAACTATGAGCACCTTCTCCTTCTGGATCTGTTATTTATTGTGAAGACTCCAAAGCACTGAATTCCTGAGGTGCTTCTGGAATGCAAGATAATTTTATTAAATAGATTTTATTTTTACTATAAATGATTTGAAAAGTACCAACCTAGAAATAGCCTTTTGCTATAAATTTCTGAAATTGCAGAGTTATGAGACTGAGGTCAGATCATGGGTGGCTTGGTAAAACAAAAACATTAAGATTACACATTGCAGGCTGCTCCTGTCATCATTGTCATTTCTTGTAAGGGTGGAAAGCAGGGTTTCTAACCATGGCCAATAACACAACAAAGTAATACTGTGTGCAGAGCTCTTACGCCTGAAAACAGAGCCTTCTGTTCCTGTCCATGGCCACTGCAAGCAAGACTCCAGCAAAGGTCACAGCGAACCAATCAGTATCATTCTTGAGTCTCTTCATAAAAGGGAAAACTGGACAACTTACTTCTTAAATACAACTTTCTAAGATATTGATGTAATTTTCTTTTAAAATCAAGTTAGTATGAATTTTAAAATTCTTAACATGTTCAAATGAAATTTGGTCTTTGAAAAATTTCTCTCACAGGTTGCCAGCAGGTGGATCTGGGATGCTGCATGGGACAACTGGGTAGAAGCTAAACATGAAACTGAATCTTATGTGGCATTGGCCTTGGTGTTTGCTGTTTATTGTGAATAGCTAAATACATATACTAAACAATTTACTTTCAAACTTTTAAAAAATAAATGAAATATACACATTTATGAACCCTATTATTCTAATTTATTGTATTATCTCCAATTGAAGCTTCTTAATTGTACTATTTTAACAACAAACAAGTGGATCAGGAATGCTTTTTGCCTTACTGCTAAGAAATATCTAGAGGACAAGGGTTTACCACTCAAGGCTCTCCTCATCATGGACAATGCTCCTCCTCACAAGATTTGGAAGAATTGGCTGAAAATTTCCCATGGTTCTCACTCTAGTTTCTCCTACCTAATATAGCTGACTTTAAGAAGTTATATACCAGGGAACTCTTCCTGAAGTGCTTCCAGATGGTCTCAGATACAGATTTAACCTTTAGAGAATTCTAGAAGGAACATTGCAATGTCCTTTCCTGTGTTGGGTTGACTGAGAAATTTTGGGCCAAATTCTCTCTAGATCTGCCTGGAAGAAAGCTGTTATTTTGTTAGGGACGTGTGAAGTTTCAAAGAGTTGTATTATTTAGATACAGGCTTTCTGCTTGAATTTTTATATCAAAAACATTTGAATAATTCAATATTTTTCTTAATTTTTTGAAGGAAAGTCTAAAAGATGTTAAATATGATGATAGAGGCTTATCTCAATTGTCTCTTCAGTTGGCAGACCAAATATTGCTAGCAGTCAAAGAATTTGGGTTCCACCGTTATAAGTTCGTTATAAAAGTATTATTTATTCAAAAGACCGGCCAAGCAATAAATGTAAGTACTCCACTGATCCAGCATCTGTCAGAACTATGAGCACCTTCTCCTTCTGGATCTGTTATTTATTGTGAAGACTCCAAAGCACTGAATTCCTGAGGTGCTTCTGGAATGCAAGATAATTTTATTAAATAGATTTTATTTTTACTATAAATGATTTGAAAAGTACCAACCTAGAAATAGCCTTTTGCTATAAATTTCTGAAATTGCAGAGTTATGAGACTGAGGTCAGATCATGGGTGGCTTGGTAAAACAAAAACATTAAGATTACACATTGCAGGCTGCTCCTGTCATCATTGTCATTTCTTGTAAGGGTGGAAAGCAGGGTTTCTAACCATGGCCAATAACACAACAAAGTAATACTGTGTGCAGAGCTCTTACGCCTGAAAACAGAGCCTTCTGTTCCTGTCCATGGCCACTGCAAGCAAGACTCCAGCAAAGGTCACAGCGAACCAATCAGTATCATTCTTGAGTCTCTTCATAAAAGGGAAAACTGGACAACTTACTTCTTAAATACAACTTTCTAAGATATTGATGTAATTTTCTTTTAAAAATCAAGTTAGTATGAATTTTAAAATTCTTAACATGTTCAAATGAAATTTGGTCTTTGAAAAATTTCTCTCACAGGTTGCCAGCAGGTGGATCTGGGATGCTGCATGGGACAACTGGGTAGAAGCTAAACATGAAACTGAATCTTATGTGGCATTGGCCTTGGTGTTTGCTGTTTATTGTGAATAGCTAAATACATATACTAAACAATTTACTTTCAAACTTTTAAAAAATAAATGAAATATACACATTTATGAACCCTATTATTCTAATTTATTGTATTATCTCCAATTGAAGCTTCTTAATTGTACTATTTTAACAACAAACAAGTGGATCAGGAATGCTTTTTGCCTTACTGCTAAGAAATATCTAGAGGACAAGGGTTTACCACTCAAGGCTCTCCTCATCATGGACAATGCTCCTCCTCACAAGATTTGGAAGAATTGGCTGAAAATTTCCCATGGTTCTCACTCTAGTTTCTCCTACCTAATATAGCTGACTTTAAGAAGTTATATACCAGGGAACTCTTCCTGAAGTGCTTCCAGATGGTCTCAGATACAGATTTAACCTTTAGAGAATTCTAGAAGGAACATTGCAATGTCCTTTCCTGTGTTGGGTTGACTGAGAAATTTTGGGCCAAATTCTCTCTAGATCTGCCTGGAAGAAAGCATGGCCTAAAATTATATAGGTGAGAGGATTTGAAGGCTGTGCAGAGGAGCCTGAGCCTTCAATTGACCCTGTGGTCGATAACATCGTCACTATAGCAGAGTCCATAGCTTGCAGGTAGACAGTGGTGAGGCTGAGGAACTGGGGGAGGAACACTCAGAGGAATTGTCTAGAGAGGAATTTTAGCAACTTCTGGCTGAGCAACAGAATGACAGGTGAGCTTTCTGAAAAGGAGGGGGAATATCAACAATCAGTGAGGCAAAGTTCTTCTGAAATAAAAGAAATCCTAAAAAAATGGACAGAGCTGCATTCCTTTGTAGAGAAGACTCACCCAGACAGAGAAAAAGCCCATCATTGCAGTTGCATTCACTTGCTTAATGACAGTGTCATGTCATGCTACAGAACAGTGTTACAGAAAAGACAGAAATAGACAACCTTAGACTAGATTTTAGTTCTGAAAAGGTTGAGACCTAGTGAGCCAGAAGCAGGTCCTAGTGAGCTACAGACTCTTCCAAAGAAAGAAAGGACACCAGAGAGCCAGATTCCTGATATTCTTATGGAAAGAATATCTCCTCCCATCAATAACCACCTTCCACTTCATCCTCACTTTCTGCAAACCAAAGATGTCAATTTGAAGTGAGTACAGTATGTAACTGGGAAGGGTAGGTGAAAGGAATAAGTATGAGAAAAGGAAAAAAATAGAAACAGTCTTTGTTAATAGGGAGTTGTGGAGGGGTTGAAGGGAGGGCAAGGGATTGGGGAAAAAGTAAGAACCAAGATATATCATGTAAAATTACAATTTCCCAATGATGAATGTCATCATATTGTAAACCTAAAATGTACCAATGAATTTAATGAATACCAATTTTTAAAAGACCTTATTGCAATTTGGGGTACTGCTGTGAAATCTGCCCCCAGATTCCACATGTTAGTTAAAATGACTGTGACAAAAAGATGAAGATCTATGGAAAGGGATGTTTATAAGAAACGTCACATTAAAAAAATTCTTGAAGATATTTCAAAACATTGAAATGAGAAAGAAAAATTTCTAGTAGGGAACTGAAATTTAAAAGTATGAGAATTTATCAAGACAGAAGAAAAAAACAGGTTCTTAATTCGTAGTTTGTCATAGAGTATTTTTGGAACAGTTCAATGGACATTATTATTATTGTCCTTCACAAGAGGACAAAGAGGTTATATACTTAAAGTATGATTACGCAGCTAAAGAACAAAACGGGGATTCAAACTGTATCTATCCCTTAGGTCACACTATCTCTTTGTACATTTTATCCCTAACTTCATTTGGTTAATTCTTGAGCCAATTTAGAATGATTGGTGGTGTACCTGAACATGCCTATTTTCCCAACTCCCAGCCATTTTATGGGATTTGAAACCTGATTTCTATTTCTAATTGAACATCTCCCTGCATCTGTTCTGTCTCTTATGACATTTCAAATTCTGTATCAGCCTTGATATTTCCATTTTTCTGGTTGCAAGAAAAATTTCTCCCATCTAAGCTCCCTCTAAGCACAGTTACATACTGATACTTTTCTAGCTAAAGCTGCCTACTTGCAAGGACCCACTCTATGGGGTACTTCCTGAGCTGCCTCGCACACTGAATCTCTCCATCCCTATCTGTTGACTTTTGATGGAATACTTTAGACTGCATTTCAGCTACAGGCAGAATGCTTCCAAAAAGAATAGAACAGAAGCAAATGAAAGAAGGATTTCTTTTTCAACATTAAACTCTATGCAGAGACTGACTGAGGCCCTGGTCAGTGGAGAGAATCTGGGGGTACGTCCTTTTAGGCAGACTTAGGGTGAAGGGAGAAGGCCACACTGCGGTCCTGAAAGTTGGGATAGAGCAATGGCCTTTCCCCGCAGTCTTTGCTAAACTGAGGCCTTCCCAGGGGGATCTCCGTAACCGGAGTTGATCTGATGAGCTGCAGTGAGCGGTCCTGGGGATGGCAGGAGAAGTGGGCTGGCCGTTCAGAGGTCACTGTCCCTTCTTCTCTGTCTTGCTACTGTGAGCAAGCCATGGCAGGTGACCCGGGAGAGTCCTCCAGGGTCTACCACACGAGGGAGGGAGGGAAGGCACTGGTGCACGGCCACTGTCCCCTCCTGGCCTCCAGCCTCTGCGGTCCACGCTAGATACCAGGCCCGGGCCGCAGCGGGGTCCCCACGAGGCCTCGGGACGCAAGGGACCTGTCAGGGTGTCGTCCGCTTGCCGCTGGGCGAGGTGCGGCCCAGGAGGGCAGAAACAAAGGCGCTGCGCCGAGCGCGGGGAGCTCTGACTGGGAGAGGAGGGGTGGGGAGCCCGGGCGGAGAGGGGAGGAGAAAAAGAAGGG